ATTTTTGAAAAGATGAGTGACATTATTTTTCTGTTTTAACAGAATCAGTCTGGGTAGGTCCTTTGTTACTCTGATTTGAAACCCAAAGGTAGCAACAATACGAAGGGTGAATAATTCCATGACATAAATAAGGCAAAATGACACCGCAGGAATGTTGGAAAAAATAGGGGAAAAGTGCACTTCAAATTACAGTCTCCCTAATCTCCATAATATGTAAAGGGTTTCTAGGAATTAATAATAAATATATAAACAATCCAATAGAAAAACTTGAGCAAAACGTGTGGTCAGAATGTTCACAAAAAATGAAATACAAAAGGTTCTTTGGGCGCCTGGGTGGCTCAGATGGTTAAACGTCTGCCTTCGGCTCAGGTCATGATCTCAGGGTCCTGGGATCGAGTCCCGCATCGAGCTCCCTGCTCCTTGGGAGCCTGCTTCTCCCTCTGCCTCTCTCTCTCTCTCATGAATAAATAAATAAAATCTTTAAAAAAAAAGTTTCTTTGACATATGAAAAGAAAGTCAACTTCACTCATAATAAGAGAAATGCAAGTTGAAATAAGAGAAATGTGAGATAGTAATTTTTACCCATTAGAATGGCCAAAATGTAGAAGACTAATAATGTGCAGTGGGGTGAGGTTGTGGGGAAGTGACCATGCTAACATATGGACATCAGTCCTTCCCAATAGAGATGAATTTGATAATGTTCATAAAAATGACAAATACATAGTTACTTTGGCCAAGTAATCCCGAGACAGAAATACTTGCACATGTGTGAAATGATGTATGCAAACAAGGTTATTCATACGTAATAGGAAAAGATTGGAGAGAGCCCAAAGATTCATCAGTACAGGACCAGTTGCATGAATTATTGTCCATCTACACAATGGAATATATTGTAGCTGTGCAAAAGAATGAGGATGTCTGCTTGGGCTGATATGGAAACGCTTCTAAGACATATTATTCAAGGAAAGAACTAAAGTTTGCATTTAGGTGTATAGTATGCAGCTTTTTGTGAAAAGTTAAATAAATACATATATGTATATACACATGTGTAGATTCATACATATTCTGTTTTTCCATTAAAATACTCCATATTTATTTTTTAAATTGTGGTAAATCTGAACACCATAAAACTTACCATTTTAACCATTTTCAGGTGTGCAGTTGAATGTTATCAAGCACATTCACATCACTGTGCAACCATCCCCACCACCCATCTCTAGAATGCCCCATCTTCCTAAACTGAAACTCTGTCCCCATAAAACACTAACTTCCCATTTCCACACCCCCCCAAGCCTCTGTTAACCATTGTTTTACTTTTTGTCTACAAATTTGCATATTCTATGTACCTTACATAAATGGAATCATATAATGTATTTGTCCTTTTGTGTCTGGCTTATATCACTTGGCATAATGCCTTCAAGGTTCATCCATGTTGTAGCATGTGCCAGAATCTTCTTCCTTTTTAAGGTTGAATAACATTCCTTTGTATGTATATACTACAGTTTGCTTATCCATTTATCAGGTTTTTTTCTGGTATAATCAGAAAGAAAACCTGGATAGATAACTCGAGGTGGGGAGGTCAGGAATTAGGCAGTTGAGGGAAAGAGGAGGCTGGGAGAATTGCTTTTAAAATATTCTTTTATACATACATATACACATATATATTGATTTTTAAAAACATTGAGCATTTTATCAATTCAAAAGCTGTTTTTAAAGGATCTTCTGGGCTGTGGTGTGGAGAATGAATTGTAGGGGGCAGCAAGAGCAGAAGGTGGGAGCGGGGAGGGGACTGCTGCAATACTCCAGCTGAAAAATGCTGGTGGTTGGGTTAGTGTGGGGACCCAGAAGGTGTTGCGAAATGGTTGGGTTCTGAATATATTTTGCAGGTCAAGCGAACAAGATCTGATTAGTTGTGAGGTATGAGAGAGAGGAAGTAGAGATGACTCCAAGATTTTTGGCATGAGCAACTAGAACAGACTTATCTTTGCTAAGATGGGGAAGATAGAGGGGCGGGTGGGAGTGTAGAAATCAAGAACAAGGGTTAGGACGTCTTCAACACCTTCTGAACGTTGGCCAATTTCTGTTGGTCGGCAAGAGCATCCAGCTAGACTATAATAACAGTCCCCCCTCCTCCCCTGCATTTGCTTTTGTGTTGCCATCTGGATTGGTGGTGATTCTTCCTTATATGCAACAGAAGCTGACTCAGGGTGATTTAAGCTGCAAAGGAATTTATCAGGTGGATATATTGGTGGCTAATGAAATCACCAGCCTTTGAAGATGAAAAGGGACAAAGTAAGGGTGCAGGCCAGCAGCTAAGGCCACAGCTTAAATCATTCTCCTGAAACCAGCCGGCACCTCTGGCTTTTGCTGACAACCCTGGGCGCTCGCAATGCCTCTGTCCCTTCTGCTCCCTCCTTTGGTGGTGGGTTCTCAAATCTAAATCTGTACATCTGCTGAGTGGAATCGGGGCCACTTGCTCACTCCCTAGCTGCAAGGGAATCTGAGGGAGATGGCCTGGTATTTTCCTCACACCAAGAGTCTGTGAGTATGGGGTTTGGAATATTGTATGCCCCACCTGTAAATAAGTGAGTTTGGCTTCACTTATGGTGGCTATGATGGCTTTTCCTTCTTGGCAAGAAGGTAATTAGTCTTTTTTTTTTTTAAGATTTTATTTATTTAGGGGTGCCTGGGTGGCTCAGTCAGTTCAGCATATGTCTTTGGCTCAGGTCATGATCCCAGGGTCCTGGGATCGAGTCCCTCATCGGGCTCCTAGTTCAGTGGGGAGCCTGCTTCTCCCTCTCTCTCTGCCTGATGCTCCCCCTGCTTGTGCTCTCTCTCTTTCACTCACTCTCTCTGACAAATAAATAATATTTAAAAAAAAACTTTAAAAAAGATTTTATTTATTTATTTGAGAGAGAGTGAGTGAGAGAGAGAGCACGAGTGGGAGGAGGGACAGAGGGAGAAATAGACTCCCCGCTGAGCAGGGAGCCCAATGATGATGGCCCAAGGGCTGGATCCCAGGACCCTGGGACCATGACTTGAGCAGAAGGCAGATGCTTAACCAACTGAGCCACCCAGGCACCCCAAATTTGTCTTTTGAAATAATTTATTTAAGGGAGTTTCTTTTTTTTTTTTTTAAAGATTATTTATTTATTTATTTGCGACAGAGAGAATGAGAGACAGAGAGCATGAGAGGGAGGAGGGTCAGAGGGAGAAGCAGACTCCCTGCTGAGCAGGGAGCCCGATGCGGGACTCGATCCCGGGACTCCAGGATCATGACCTGAGCCGAAGGCAGTCGCTTAACCAACTGAGCCACCCAGGCGCCCCAAGGGAGTTTCTTGAAAAACAGGAGAATGTTGGAAATAGAAATCAGGATGGTGGAGACCTTTGGGGTAAGGCAGGCAGCAAGTATCAATTACGTTCTAATGGTGGAGTCTGATGGTGGTCTAGTGTGTGTGCATTTTGCTCCCCTGCTCTTTCACACACATACATTACATCAGTCGGAGTCCTGGATGGAAAGAGATAGCACACTCAAAGTGGGTAATTTGGGGATCAATGAAGACTGGGACAATTATAAAGATGAAGACAGAAGGTGCATAGCCCTACTGTGAATAGTGCAGTGTCATCCTGCGGGCAATTGTGGGGTCCCATCACCATCTTTAGCTGAAAGGGGCAAAGGGAAGGAGTGGTTCTCAGAAACTGGAGCTACAATCTCCGATGGATGGAGAGATGCTGCTGATGCACAATGACCCCCATGGAGGGAGCTTGTGGGAGAAATACTCTGGCCTTTCTCCTCCCAGACTCTCATCTCCTGCTGATGCCTCCTGCTGGCAATCCAAAGACCTCTTGCGTATGTGTGCTTCATATATTCTTTTTAAAACATGTATTTAGGGTGCCTGGGTGGCTCAGTTGGTTAAGCGACTGCCTTCGGCTCAGGTCATGATCCTGGAGTCCCTGGATCGAGTCCCGCATCGGGCTCCCTGCTCGGCGGGGAGTCTGCTTCTCCCTCTGACCCTCCCCCCTCTCATGTGCTCTCTCTCTCTCATTCTCTCTCAAATAAATAAATAAAATCTTAAAAAAAACCCATGTATTTAATTTTTAAATTGAGATAATTCATATACCATAAAATTTGCCATTTTAAAACGCACACTTCGGTGGTTTTAATATAGTTACAAGACTGTGCAACCATCATCATGATCTATTTTCAAATATTCTTTTGCAGGTATTCCAATATTGCTTCAAAAATCCAATGTCAGGGAGGGGAAAGAAGGGGTTCATTTGACCAAAAATATTAAGTAGCCCCATTATCTCTGCACTGACTCAAAGAGACCTCTTTCGCGGACTCTGGACTCATTTTCTCTTTCCCTAGAAGAGGTTACTAGAGACCCCTGAGGACCAGCATAGACTTTGAGTTGGACAGACCTAGGCTTGATTCCTGTCCCTCCCCTCTGTTCTGGACAACCTTGGTTTCCTCATTTTATGAACTGAGCAGGTTCTGAGTGCCTCTATCTAACAAGGCTGCAAGAGCAAACATTAATTAAAACACCTTCGCCTGGAGCCTAGCATTCCAAGGTGGTAGCTAAGCACGAACCACACCAAAAGCTCCAAGTGAAATGGAAAAACAGAGCAGGGTGCTTTTCCTATCATTTCAGTGTTGTTATTGTTAGCTCTGCTTTCCGGAAGATGACACCAGGAAGTCACCTGCCCAGGGTCACCCAGTGAACAAGAGGCAGGGTCAACACTTACACCCAGAGTCCATTTGCTTCCAAACTCTCCACACGACGGCCAAGAAACTTGGACCCCTATTGCTTTAAAAAATTTTTTAATTGTGATGAAATATACATAACACAAAATTTACCATCTTAACCATTTTTTAAGTGTACAATTCATTAGTATAAGTCCATTCACACTGTCGTGCAGCCATGACACCATCCATCCATGGAACTCTTCATCCTGCAAAATTGTAACTCTCTCCCCACTAAACATTGACTCCCCACCCCAACCCGCCTGGCTCTCACTATCTACTTCCTGTCTTTGTGGATTTGACTCCTCTAGGGACTTCACCTAAGTGGTATCAGAAATTATTTGTCCTTTTTCTGTCTGGCTTATTTCACTGAGCATAATGTCCTCAAAGTTTATTCATGTTGCATCAGATGTTGGAATTTACTTTCTTTTTAAGGCTGAATAATATTCCATTGTATGGATATACCTCATTGAGTTTATCCAGTCTTCTGTTGATGGACAGAGGGATGAGGTTGCTTCCACCTTTCAGCCATTGTGAGTAATGCTGCACACAGGTGTGCAAATATCTCTTTGAGAACTTGCATTCAATTCTTCTGGTTAATACCCAGAAATGGGATTGCTGGGTTCCATGATAATTCTGTTTCATTTTTTGAGGAACTACTATACATTTTCCATAGTGACTACACCATTTTACATTCTCACCAGCAGTGCCTAAGGGCTCACCAGCAGTGCCCAAGTGCCAATTTCTCTACATCCTCACCAACAGTTGTTATTTTCAAGAGTTTTTGTTGTTTGCTTGGTTTACTTATAGTTGCCATTCTAATGTGTGTGAAGTGGACCTTATTGTTTTTTAATTTTTTATTTAGACATAAGAAATTGAGCTTTATTAAATATTTAATATAGTGATTGCTAGTGGTTACAAATATATATTTTATGAAAAAATATACATGCACTGCTGGTGAGTGCACAAACATTTTGCTGAGGGAGTGTGTGGCCAGAAAAGTCTGAAGACCCCTTAGTCAACTCAGTTCTATGTGGAGGGGGTTTTAGATCATCCTTGTATTCCCAGGCCCAAGATAATAAAGTCCAGAGGTTGAATGAGGCAATCTATCTCATCTTTCAAGGTCCAGCCCCAATGTCCCCTCCTCCAGGATGCCTCCCTTGCCTTCCCAGATAGCTCCAGCTCCTTACTCTGGGCTCCTCAGCCCAGGGTCCAAGGGTCCCTCTCTCTGCCCCAGCCCTGACCATGGAGGGGTGTGTGCGTGGATGCTGAGGAATTTCTGGGGTCCCAGCAATGCCCAGGCACAGAGTGGGTCAGGCAGAGTTTGCTGAAGGAAGGAAGGAAGATAGGAAGGAAGGAAGAAAGATAGGAAGGAAGAAGAAAGGAAGGAAGGAAGAAAGGAAGGAAGGAAGGAGGGAAAGGTCTGTACTGGCCTCTGAGATGGGTGTAAATTGAAGAGGCCTGGCTGTTCAGAGGTGGGGAGGGTTGGTTGAGGCTTTGCTCACCGGGGCCGTATTTGGAATCGGAGGCAGCCACAGGCCAGACATCGAAGGCCAAGGTTGAGAAGGCGTGTCCAGCGGAAGAGTAGGCAGTGGGTTGTGCGTACGTACAGGCTGCCTGAGGGGTCCACAGCCTTGAGTGCAACCAGCGGGGTGTAGCGGGCATTGGTCTGTCGGCGCAGGGGTGGTCTGGTTGAGCCGATGACCTTGACAATGACCTATGGGGTGGAGCCCTGAGCTCGTGGATTCAGGGTGGGGGGCTTGCAGGGTGGGGCACCCTCACATACCTGAGCCATGTCTTGGGGCTCTGGGTTCCCCACTCACCTGGGCCACATCCTGTGGGCTCTGTCCTACAGAGTGAAAGAGCTCCCTGGAGGTGGGGAGGTAGAAATCCCAGAAGTAGCGCAGGGTGTCGGGGTCAGTATCTGGGAACTCGGCTGTGGAAACCTGCTCCAGGAGCTTCCCCTCAAAGTCAGTGACCACCGGGCCAGGTTCCACCAGGGTGATGCTGGGGACATCGGTAGGGGTAGAGGGTCTGGTACCCCAACCCACTTGCTGCCCCATTACTGTCCCTCTCCTCCTCTCTCCCCCCATTTCTCTCACCATTCTTCATCCTTCCTGGTTCCCCCAGTCCTTCCACTATCCATCCCCCATACTGCTCCACCCTCTTCCAATAACTCCATTTCCCTCATTCCTGATTCCACTTTCTCACCACTGCCTTGTTTTCCCACCATCACTGCCTTCCCAGCCCGCTTCCCCTCACCACCTCCCCTTCCCTCATCTTCCTCCACCACCGTCTCCCATTCCCCTCCTTCACTGCCCAAATGCCCGCCTCACAAGATGTTGAACTGCAGCAGCTGGATAGCCAGACTTTCGAAGAATCCCTCCAGGGCGAACTTGGAGGCTGCGTAGGCTTCATTGAACAGGACACCTGAGAGGATTGGAGGAGGTTGGGCCCTTTGGTGTCTTGGTGATGGGCTTGTGGGTCCAGAGGGACATGGGGTCTTCAGGAGACAGAGCAAAGAGGGTTTGAAGATCAGAATAGGGGGTATCTAGGGTCAACATGATGAGTGTATGTATGTGTGAAAGGAGCATATGCTGAAGGATGAGCCCACATGCTCAGGATGAGGCTCTTGGGGTGCCATATGCTACGTCTTCCCAGTGCTCCATTTGCCTTAGCTCTTGAAAACTCTACTTCCCTCCATCCTCTAAACCTCTAGGTCACTTGAGCATAGGATTGCCAGGGTCCCTGAGGGCAAGTCTGATTCAGCAGAGTTCTTATCTGTCCTTATTGAGAGTGAATGTGGCCCCTGAGGTGAGGAGGTGCAGCTGGAAGAGGGGCCAAAGGGATGGGACTGAGTAGTAGTTATAGATTCCCCATGGCGGGGTAACAAATAAGGTGGATTCTTAAACAAACAAACAAACAAACAAACAGACAAACAAACAAACAAAATAAGGTGGATTCTTCAGGGGGCTGCTGAGGAGGTGGGGGCAGATCCCAGGGAATTTCCAGGGGGAGGAAGGGAGTCTAGAGGGGTTCAAGGAGGAAAGACCCAGGAGCATGGATGGCAAATAGGTGGCCTCCATAGTAGGCCAATAGCAGACATCACTAAACAATTACTGCTCTCTTTTTCTGAAGAACCTCAGAGCCCCAAAGCTATCTCTGGAGCTTGGTTAGAGAAACATCAAGGAAAGGAGTTTGTCAAGAAAACATCACAGGAAAGGAGTTCTGGGGCACCTGGGTGGCTCAGTCTGTTAAGCGCCTGACTCTTGATCTCAGCTCAAGTCTTGATCTCAGGGTTGTGAGTTTGAGCCTTGAGTTGGGCTCCATGCCTGTGGAGCCTACTTAAAAAAAAAAAAAAAAAAGGAGTCCGTTCTGATGGTTCCTTTGGTTTGGGGGAGATGGTTGGGAGAGGAGAGGGGGGAGGGTCAGAGGGAGAAGCAGACTCCCCGCTGAGCAGGGAGCCCGATGCAGGACTCGATCCTGGGACTCCAGGATCATGACCTGAGCCAAAGGCAGCCGCTCCACCAACTGAGCCACCAAGGTGCCCCAAGGGAGAGATTTTTAGAGGTGTCCAGAAGTAAGGTTGATGTGGATTGACAGCATTTATAATACTACTGCCTATTCTTTCGCCATGGCAGACATAATCTAATCTAGAAATGTGTCCCATAGAGCTTCAGAATCCTTTTCAACATAGGCTCACTTGGAATATGAACTAAAACCTATTTGCCATTCTTCCAGCCTAGGGAGGGTCAGATGCTAGGAGGACTCCCAGGGGTGGGTTCCCAGGGCTTACCCTGCAGCCCCATGACACTGCTGACCACCACAATGTGGCCCTTTCGCCTTCTCTTCATGCCAGGAAGGACAGCTCTGACCAGACGGACAGCCCCGAAAAAGTTGGTCTCAAAGACGTTCTGCATGGCAGCTAGGCTGATCCCCTCCAGGGGCCCCACCAGGCCCACTCCAGCATTATTCACTAAGGATGGGACTGAAGGTTACTTTGAGGTCCCCCCAACCCTTCTAGTGTCACTCCTCTAGGGACACTCCCTGAATTATCCCTCCCCTTACTCCAAATTCAGGGCCAGTCCAGGGTATCTTGATGGACAAATGTGGAGCCCTGATGATCTTTACATAGAGTTTAGCATTTGTTATGGGGACCCTGAACCCTGGGTTGGCAGAAAGGCTGCTGGGAGCAGCCTCCCCTTAATGCAAGAGCAACTTAGCTCTGACCCCAATTTGCATCAAAACAGCCACACCCACCTCCTTAGAAGGTCTTTGAGGGATCATGTGTTGCTTCTTCATCATGCTCCCTTCCCCAAATGACTCATCAAAGTAACTTTTCCAACTAAATATGGCTTTCCCCAAATGTGAGATGTTCTATTCAATAAAATCCACTCCCAGGACTCAGTTTATTTCTTGTAACCCTAATAAACTGGTACCCTGGGCTGTTAGCCAGCTTGTCTATCCCTTCTGTCCAGGGCTAGCAGTTGCTGGTGAAGCAAGAAGGCTGGTGCTCAGACCCTGGAGAGGATTCACGGTAAGGAGGATCTGAGCTTAGGTCAGGGAAGGGGGGAGTGACCCCAGGGGCTGTTCAGTCTCACCCAGCACATCCACTTCCCCTCCCTGGATGCAGCTGAGACACTGGGCCACTGACTCGTCACTGCATACGTCCAGCTGGGCCACGGTGAGGGTCTGCCCCAGAGCATCCCCAGCAGCTTCCTCCAGTGTCCCCTTCTTTCCCAGGTCCCTCATGGTGGCCACCACTGGGGACAGAAAAAAGAGTTGGGGCAAGCACTGGGTTCATTTCCCCTGAGCATTCACTTACATATCTCCATGATCTTGCACGAGCAGTCACAGAGGGATGGAGAACCACAGGTTTACACACCTACGTTCACTACACAACCACAAATGGATATTGTGTACATACATTTACATGTACTTTCATCCATCCCTCCATCCCTCCATCCCTCCATCCAACATTTACTGAGCATGTACTTAGTATACACTATGCCTTATTCTAGGTGCTGAGACTACTGCATGAAATAAGATAGGCAAAGTTCCTGCCTTCATGGAATTTATAGTCCAGTGAGTAAGGCAATAAAATAAATATAGAGCATACTGCCTTAAGAAAAGAAATGCATACTTACTTAGGGTCAATATGTGTGCATTGTGTGTACATGCAAATACAAATAGCCACATTTACATCATCCACAGAAATGTCAATTTATTGAATATCTACTTTGTGCCAAACACCTTTATAAGCACTGTCTCTAATCCTCATGAGGACCCTATGATTAGGCAACGGACTTATTTTCCAAAGATGGCCACAACATCTTTCATCACATATGCTCTTTGAGAACTTTGCTGCTCCCCCTCAAGACATGAAATCTCATTTTCCTCTCTTTGAATCTTGTGACTAGCTGGGAATTAATAGAATATGGTGAAAGTAACATTGTGTGGCTTTTGGGATTAGGTCGGAAAAGGTATTGTAGTTTCTGCCTTGTTTGCTGTAACGTTCACTCTTTTTCTTTTTTTTTAAGATTTTACTTATTTATTTATTTGAGAGAGAGAGAGAGAACAGGAGTGGGGGGAGGGGCAGAGGGAGAGGGCGAGAGAGAATCCCAAGCTGACTTCACTCTGAATGTGGAACCTGATGTGGGCCTCGATCTCACGACCCTGAGACCATGATGTGAGCCAAAATCAAGAGTCGGATGCTCAACTGACTGAGCTACCCAGGCACCCTTGTAATGTTCACTCTTAAAATCCTCAGCCACCTTGTAGTAGCCCAGCTATCCTGAATCCACCATGCTGGGGGGAAGCCCAAGCTAGCCAGATAGAGGGACCACATGGAGAAGACCTGAGATTATTAGAAGGAGGAGAGATGCCTGCCCAGGCCTCTGACTAGCCCCCAACTGTTCTAGTTGTAGCCTTTGACTCTGAGTGAGAACTGTCTAGCTGTGCCCTTCCAAATTTATGACTTTTGTAAACCATGAGAGATAGTTGATTGCCGTTGTTCTATTACACCAGAAATTTTGGAATGATTTGTTCTTTAGCAATAGTAGCCAGAATAAGTAGGTAAAGTTATTATCTGTATCATAGAGATTAACACATTGAGGCTAAGCAAAATGAAGTTCCTTGTCTGTCCCACCACTAGTAAGTGTTAGAACTGAGATTTGAACCTGGATTTGTTGGGAGTGCTGAGCTCAAACCCCTGTATCCATGTTTGTACCCTTCATGCATGTACCCACAATTATACATGCACAGCCCCGGGGCGCACGTTCATACAGTCTATGGGCCTTTGTGATTCATGGGTGTTGCACAGATGAATGGGACCACATGCATACATACATGTGACAAGTGTGGCCCCAAGGGCTGGGTTGCCTGGGTCCAAATCCAGGCTCTGCCACTTTCTGGCGGGGCGACTTTGGGCAAGGACCTTTGGCATTCTGTGCCTCCGTTTCCTCATTTCTAAGATGGCGCTAACGTTGGTGGCCACCTCATAGGGGTGATATGAGAATGAAAAGACTTACTAGATGCACAACACTTAGATCAGAACCTGGCACGTTGTAAGCACACAATAAACATCCTTCAGCTTTATTCACTCATCTGCCTGTCCACAGGGACACACACAGCACAACTGCTTCCCTGCACACTGGCACTCAGTCTGTCACATCTAAAGCTGTGTGTGTCTCTAAGACAGAGGGCAGAGGGCTGGGAGAAGCAGCTCTGCCAATTGGGGCAATGCCCTTGCCCCCTGCAACCTCCTCTTAAGTAGCAGCCTTTTGCCCACTTCAGCTCCAGCCTGCTCTGGGTCAGAGGTTCCCATGGGTGGAGTGCAGACTGAGGCAATTTACTCCAGAGTTGCAGGAGGCTGAGTCCCTAGATTTAGAGGTCCCCCTTAAACCCCCAAGGTCAGGGTCACTTAAGAGGTTTATCTTGGAGCAATAATCTGGGGAGGGGTGGGGGAGGGGAGTCCTAGGGAATGCCTAAGTGGAACCTTACGGAAGCCCTTCCCACCAGCCCTTTAAAAAATATCACCTACCCCCCACCTCCTACCATACCCCATCCTTACTTTACTTTGCTTCTTAGCACTTATTAGCACTAGACATATTATACAATTTAAAAAATCTGTTTATTGTCTGTCCTTGCTCCCCTCCCTCACTACACCACAGCTGAGGGCAGAGATTTTTGTCTGTTTTGTTCACAGCTGTGTTTCCAGCACCTAGAATGGTGCCTGGCACCCAGTAGGTGCACAAGAAATATTTGTTGGATGAGGGAATGATTCATGAGCAGAAGTGGGAAGGGGGCCTCCATGTGTCCTGGGTCCTCCTCAAGCCCACACATACAGCTGATGGGATGGGCTAGTAAATGGTGCCAAGAGGGCTGAAGGTCCTCAGAAGCCATGCCCACCCCTACCCCTCCTGGCCCCACCCCGGAGCCTCTAACCTTGGTAGCGCTGCCTGTGGTCATGAGCCAGCTGCACTGCGAGCTCCAGGCCAATTCCCGAGGAGCAGCCTGAGATCAGTACAGTCCGGGGTGCGTCAGCCATGTTGATCCCTCCCTGGATGGGTGACCTCTGCTGGCCAGCACCTGCCTCCTGCCACCCATCCTTGCCTCATCCCCCCACCTCCTGGACACCCTCCCACCAATCCCTTGCAAGGTGAAGGGGCCCCAGAAGACACCAGTTCTGAACTGACCCTGAGCAGGCAGCTAGGGGAGGGGGTAATCTTTTCATCTCAAAATAGCCTCTTTCCTTTATTTGTTAAAAATTTCTTCTCACTGCTACACTCACAACTAGGGTCTTTTTATTGTGATTGTAAATCATTCAGGGCTGGGGGAATTAGCAGGGGCATTCTCTCCCTGTCTAATCTGGGCAAAGAATCTCTGGTGGGAGGGAGGGAGTGAAAGAAAGTGACAGAGAGTGTGATCCCAGAAGGGTCCTTTCAAAGAGGAGAATGGGCATAGATATGTCAAATGATGGGGGTAGACTAGGAAGAACTTCCCAGCAAGGCAGGGCAGGGCACTCTCTTTATGAGAATCTTTTAGCAGAAGTCTTAGCCTCTGAGGTCCCTGAGGAGGGAGGAGGAGCAGCTTGGGGAGATTCCCTCTCTTCTCCCCACCCCATAGCCCCCATTTCACCCTCAGGCCAGATGGGGCCCCACCCCTCTTCCCCAGGGACACAGACACTCTTTGTCCGTGGAGCCAGAGGCTGGGAGAGCGATGCTGCCGGCTTCTCCCTCTTCCCCATGATGGGGCAGTTCAGGGCCCAGGATACGCCACTTAGGTTCCTCCCTGCAGAAGCTCTCCTCAGATCCCGCAAGTCTGCGCTTGTTCAATTGCACAGACAGCTCCATGTGACCCCCTGAGGGGGAGGGAGCTTCACAGTGGGGGGTCCCAGTAGGGTGAGGGGCAGCTCTACCTCACCCCAGGAATGGCAGGTATCCACCTCTCCCTAAGGCAGTTCCCTGCTTTGAAGTAGGGCCAGACTTCCCCATTTAAAGGTGGGGCATATGTGAAGATTTGGAATTGGGGCTAGGGCATCCATTTGGGGACCTGAATCAGGGCTACAGATGGAAATTTGAAGATTAAGAATTTGGGGGAAATTGAGAACTGTGTTTTGGAATCTGTGTCAAAGGTTTGGGGGTGAGGTCAGGACATCCAATTCCGGAATTTGGGTGGAGAAATGAGGATTTGGAGTAAGGCTGGGAATGCCATTTTGTAATCTGGTGGGAGGTTGGAGCTGGGATGAGGATTCTTTATTTAGAGACCCGAAGGGAAGGCCTGGGATGAAGCTGGTACCTTCCATTGTGTGGCTAAGACACTGCGGTAAAGCAAGTGGGTGAAAATTTGGCATCCAGGCTGAGACCTCATCTGGGGACCTTGGTGAGACAGAAAAGATTTGGTATAAAGCTGTATAAAGCCTTAATTCCAGGGCCTGGATGGAGGCTGAAGGTTTGAATGAGGCTAAAATCTCTTTTGAGGGAGGCTGTTAGGGAGAAAGGGTTTGGGGTAAGTCTGGGACCCCGAATTCTAAGGCTGGGTGGGAGTGACCCTTTTCCTCCATTGTGGGGTGGGGCAAGAAGGGCCCCGCTCCCGGCCCAGGGCTCCAGCCCTAGCCGGCCAATCAGCACTCAGCACAAACTTTCCCAACTCCTCCACCAGCTGTCAGCCACCCTCCCCCCCCTCCCTCCAGCGAGCCCCGCCCGGCCCGGCTCTGGAGCGCAGGGCGAGGCCAGGGCGGGGTCTCCTGCAGTCTCCTGCCGATCCCGAGTGAAGTCGGCCGCGGCGAGTGAGTGCACGGAGCCTGAGGAGTCGCCGCGCCCCGTAGACGCCCCGGCCGGTCCCCGCCTTGCGTGTTGGGCCCCGCCGGGATGGGGAGTCGCCGAGGCCTGGGCCAGCTGCGGGCGGGCCTCTGCCTGCTCCTGGCTTTGCTGCAGCTTCTGCTCCGGACTCAGGCCGGTGAGCCGGAAAGGAGGAGATAGGCATAGGATCAGGAGTGCAGGATCTAGCGAGGTCCCCCAAAATGGGGTGGAGTCAGGAATGGGGGGCGTGCGAGGGGGGCGTGAGTGTTGCGCGTGGCTGGGGTGCTGTGTTCCGGCGCGTATCCGACTCTGGGCGATTTGTGGGTGTGACAGCTGGGGGGAGGGGGGAAACGTGTGACCGAGTTTTACTGGTGGATGCGTTGGAATGAATGCAATTTATAGGTGTGTATGTAGCAATGTGTGTGAGGCCATTTGAAGTGAATTTGTGTGTGGGAAATTGGGTGTGGGAGTTGACGATTATTGTATGAATACGTGTGATGGGTGATCCCTGGCCAAGTGTGTGATTGTGAGTTGTGGGTGTGTCTGTGTGGGGCTGACTTAGAGAATAATCGTGTGTTACGTGTGTGATTGTCTTTGGGTGACCCGAAGAGGGGTTCGGTTGTGATTTGGGGATGTAAATAATGGCCCAGGACGACGTGAGTGGATGTTTCTGGGGGTGATGGTGAGTGGGGACGAGTATGGGAGGGGGCTAATCGGGGATTCAGTTTCCTTTACATCTCCCCTAATGGCTTCGTCCTATTCTTCCTCTCCCTCCTCTGCCTCCAACTGGCGCGCCCCCACCTCCTCTGCCCCTACTTCTCTCCCCTCCCCCCACCCCGCGCTCCCCTGAGCCGCGATCAGCACCATGGACAGGGCCTCGGGAGGGCTGCGGTGAGGGGCGAGGCGGGGCGGGGCGCGGGGCGGGGCGGGGCGGAGCGCGGGCGGGGGCGGAAGTGGAAGTCGCTGCCCCCAGCTGAGCGACCCGCGGGTGTTTTTCTTGAGGAATTTCTCAGGGGCCTCAAGGGGTCCAGGGGGCCGCCGGACGAGTGAGTCAGCGCTGACGCACGCCCAGCTGCGCGCTTCTGGCTGGATGCCGCGCTCCGCCCCGCAGGGTTCTGGGTTGGGGGCGCCCAGGGGTTTGGGAAGGTCGGTCCCTCAAGTGGCATCTCTGGTCTGAGAGAGGCTGGGCTAGGCCCTTTTGGAAATCCCTCCCTAATGTGAACTCAGCTCCCCAACACACACACACACACACACATACACACACGCAGACACCGTCCTACACCTTCTCACTTTCTCTGGAGTCCAGGGAGGTGCCTGCTCATGCGGATTATCCCAAATTGGCCCATGTCCCATTCCCACACAGTCGTGCAATCTCAAGCATCCATTCAGAATATAAGCCCTCTGGGACACCAGGAATGTTAAACACCGGTGCCCACGCCCCAGGCAACCCCAGCAGCCACCCGCCACAGGGTCACAGCCTTTGTCACCCTCCTACGCCTTGCAGCTCCAGCGCATGCTTCCACTGGTATCCACACAACCCTGTCAGCATTCACAACCAGTCACCTACTCACCGACTTGGCCATACTCTCAAGTATAACCACATTCCCCCCATCTGGAGTCTGATCTATTACAGTCACAGACTCACCTGCATCACCTGCTCACTGCCAGGACCCAGGACCCCAACTCACATGGACTCCCAGCCACACACCAAACAACAGCATCTGGTCCTCCGTCGGAGTCCAAATACTTGGCACACACTGACACATCCACAAATCACAAGCTCAGCCATTCCCTGGTCCATATAGAGTCACACTCATGCTTGCACAATCTCATGCCCGTATACAATGGCACCCACACACCTATGCTCTCCTGCTTTTCTGAGGAGATCCCAACCATGTCACACCTACCAGTGCCTGCCTGCCTCCCTTCCTATCCTAGACCCCATCCAACATCTCCCTGGGGCCCTGGCCAGCCCAGGGGAGAGTGTGGAGGATGGCCAGGCCGGGTCCCTGACAAACCCCCACCCTCTGGCCCTGCAGGCAGGACTCAATGCCTCTTGTGTGTCTCCTTGTCACAAAGCCAGCCATGAAAAGAAAGGGCAGTCAGTTTCTGAAAGGTCATTACAGAGGAGATGCAAGATTGAAGCAGGAGATGTTTGGGTTAGGTGCTGGGAAGGACTTTTTCAATGTGAATGAGCAGCTGGTTGAGAGGACACCCCCTCCCCCAGCACAAAGACAGGGATCTGGGTGAGGGGAGAGCCACACTGAATGGGGTCATGGAGCTCAGCCCTCCACTGGGCCCCAGCCTGGAGAGGGGGCAGCTGGGATGATCATTCCATGGGGGAGTGACCCTTGTGGTTGACAGAGCCTGGGAGCTCAGATCTTAGTCCCAGGGGACTGTAACCCAAATACTTCTTAATGACAGCCCAGCCAGAGAACAAGCAATTAGAGTGGGGGCTGGTGGTGGCGGCAGAATTGGGGGGCGTGGATGGAGGGAGAGAAAGAGGGAGGGGGAGAGTAATCCACACAGATATACATATGAAATACCAATAGACAGAGAGAGCTAGGAAGTAAGACAGAGAGAGACACTGATTCAGAGTTGGACGCAGAGAGGGACCTGGAAAGACCAGCACAGAAAGTGGGACAGAGAGAGAGGGCAGGGAGGGGGAGAGAAGAAAGAAAGAACAGGAGTTGAGGGCAAGAATGAGCTGAGGCTGGAATAGGGGTCTGTAAGGTTTGGAGAATGAAGGATCTGACCCAGGAGGAGCCGGATGGGGGTCCCTCATCCAAGCCCCTATCTCCCCCAGGTCTGGCCCCCTACCCTGACTCCCACTGGTGAGGTCAGCAGAACCGCCCCCAGGGTGAGGTCATAGGCAAATTTGACAGAACTGGCTCCTGCCAAGAGGCTGGGTCAGGGGGTCAGTGGGACAGTCTGCTGGGGGAAGGGGAGAGCAGGCAGGGGCTTTGGGCCCAGGGGAAGCCCCCACCCTCCCCTGCCCAAGCCATGTGGTTCCACTTAGCACTGGCCTGCTGTATGGGGTGGGGCCGGTAGGATGGCCTGGATTCGGATCTGGTTGGGCCAGACCAGTTCCTTCCTTTCCTGGCATGAGAGGGATAGGGTCACAGGGAGGAGGTCAGGAGGTTATTAGAGAGAGGTGGTCGTAAGGAGGAGGTCAGAGAGGGTGATAAAATGGGGAGATCACAGGTCAGATAGAGATGACTGGGATAGGCAGAGGGAGGAGGTCATGGGTGATGGTGATCAAGGAGGAGGTCAGAAGGAAGAAGTTAGGAGAGGTAGTGGAGAAAGGGAGCAGATCATGGGTGATGATGGTCAAGGAGGAGGAGTTCAGAGGAAGTGGTGGTCAAAGGAGGAGGTCAGAGGGAAGTGGTAGAGGAAAAACACACACACAAGGAGCCCCTCCTCTCCAAGCGGGTTTCCCCTGGCAGGGGGCTTCAGGCCGGGGAAGCAGCCCCAGGGAGTC